GCCAGCTACAGCTACAGTACGCAGTGTTTTGAGACATGTATTCGGACTTTTGGGAAAAGAAACTCGTGGAAGGATTGCCAATCAATGCAAAGGTGGCAAAGTTGGCGGCGACGAAGAATCTCGTCGCTTTATCGTGGGAGAACTTGACAACGTTCTAGGTAATTTTAATGGTATTGGAAGAAAAGATCTACTGAGCAGCGTTTGCTTTCTGCAAGATGGGGTTAACGAACTGTACCAGTTTCTACATCTATCTCATTCAGGATCAATTGACCGTGTGACGGAAGTAAAAGCTGTGTCCTCAAGTGACGCTGGTTTTTATTCTTCTGACAACCATGCTATTGCTCTGGAAAACGCCGTTCAACTACCTAGATCGAGTGAGTATTTCAGGTTGTCAACCAGAAATTTTATGCTCGCAAGGGAAATGGCCACTAAAGCATTCAACAACGAGGCGTTATCGTTTGAAGATCGCATTCAGGCGTATCAAGTGCGAATGATAGCGAAAATTTTAGAAGATCCCAAAAATCCAAACGTTGGCGTTGGTGATTGCCTGCGGCATTTTAACCAGCTTTTTTTCCCTCACCCTGGACTACTGAAAACAAGTTTTCATCACAAAAACCGTGTAAACATTGTCACGGCCGTTGAGGCGATGAAGCCAGATTTATTCGACCTTGCCATGAAGTTTACGAAACTGGCACCGAATGTTTATGTCCGGAAACCTATTTCGCATGACGAAAGTCTATATAATCCTGAGCTTTGGGACGACATTCAAGAAAAGAGCGAGGTAGGAAAATGTCTGGGACCGTTATTTTATCCACAGAAAGAAGTTGCGAGAGGATGGAAAGTTTGCGCGATGGATGTTGACGAATACGATAACACCTACGTTATTACGGCGTCTAGAAAGCATGAAGGTGAAAAGTTTAAATTTGGCTTTTTCATATTTAACTCGAGCGGGAACCAAAAACTTGAATGCAGTTTACCTTTTTTTAAAAACCATTTTACCCCGGCAGTATCTATGGCAATATGTAAACTCGGAAAAATTGCTTTCCTAGATCGTGTAAATAAAAAAATGATAATTGGTTACCCATCTAAGTACTCGAATGCGTATGAAGTTGAAAAAAAGTTTGATATTGATGTACCTTTATCCATGCAAAATGATCCAAAAATTGATTCGTCTAAAAATATACGATTCTTTTATTCGAATGATGAAATAAAGATAGTCGTGTTGGACCGTCATACCGTATATATATACGATATAAACGGAGAGTTGGAAGAAAGAATTGGTATACCCGAAAAACATGGAACAGGTGTATTCCTTGAAATTGATCACGACAGACGGAGATTCCTGATTGAGGCATGGAGACCGGTAAAATCTCTATATGACAATTTGGTACAATTTTTAGAAAGTGGAAATCCACCTGACATCTTTAAGTATGAACACCTTTTTCAAACTTCTCACCGTCCAGTCTTGTTAGTTGGAGAACAAGGAGCAGATTATCTTCGACCACTGACACTGTGACTTCGCACGATATATATAAATACAACGCTGGAAAAAGAGAGTCGATTAGAGTTCGTGTACCTTTAGTCGGTCAAGGGAGTTGATGAGAGTTGCAAAGCAGCTAGCGGGCTGCATTTTGCAGTAGAGGCTCAGAAAAATAGTACAAAATTAAATACAAATTAAATAGTACAAAATGGTCCTTGGTACGAGCGCGGTAACATCTGGTCAACTCTCGCTTCTCGACTTTCATCTCGTTTGACCGGGGCTTAACTATAGAGTTAAAGCAATATATACCTTTGAATTCCTTACTTATTGCACGAACGCTCCTTTGCAAAACATAATTTTAATATTTCGCATGCATGCAGTACTGTGGAAATGTACAGGAGACTTATAATAAAAATCACTTATATTAAACATGTATATGGCGTGCACAAATGTCGTAAATGATTGTCCAATTCATGCAATGATATCCTGATGTTCATTGTAATAATCGTCGGCTCTACGTGTACGGTTTCACATTCACTTTCACGTTGGAATTGAATATAAAAATAGCCGGGTATCTGACAGCTACGCGACCAAAATGTCGATTTATGCTGCGCCATGCATGCATATTGTCGCAGATGAGGTTAGCAAAACACTTTTCTGCACATCTGACTCGAACAGCAACATACTTGCATGCCAGATTTAACGCGCCTCGCACATTTAATCGCGTGGGAGTGTTCTCATCTTTGCAGCTATCATGCACAAATTGCTATGCCGTTTCGACTAGAATATTCCGGAGAAAAACAGCGATAATGTCAAAAAAAGTAGCAAGAATAGCTGTGGTTTTTGTTATTGTCAAACTCATTAGTTTCATGCACGTATGTAACTGCAATGCCATGTTAAAGCCTGCTTGAATTATGTAATCTAAACAGTGTTATCAAAAATTTTATAATTATTGTGTTTTGAACAGTATGTTTGATAATTTCAATATTTGCATGACTAATTTAAATTCCAATATCTTTTGATATCATGCATGCACGGTGTAAAATACAGTGTCAAAAGACTATCAAATTGAGAATTTATGTAAAACCTTAGCAAATTGTCCTTAGACCTTACGCTTTCACTACATATGATTATTATGTACTTTAACAAAAATAGCCTGAACATCAACTGTCCGTTCTACAATCTGTGTATATATATAGAACATTAATTCAGCGTTGTTGCATCAGTTTAATATGAACATTGACTCATTGTGCACGGTCAGAAGATTAAGGTTTTTTAATCATTTTTACTTGTCTTATTTAACAATTCTTTCGTCCTTTTGCTAAGTTCATAGAAAAGGTTCGAGAAATCTATGCCGTTCCTGTGAATTTTACGACATTGCTCTTCTGTGGTAATGGTTTTGTTTAAAAGGAATATACCCCTGAACACCCGACTTTTTCTCGAACATCGCAAATTCGCATTGGCTATCCGGCTTTGATCAATATTCACGATGGAAAACTTAAGGAGCGATTGAGTGTTGCTTCTAACATTTGTGTAGCAAAAAGCGAGTAAATTCTCGAGATTCTACGCAATTTATTTTTGTGTTAAGCATGCATTACGAGAATTCAGTAAGACAGAGATATAATTTGGACGGTATATTATTCATTAAACAGAGAGCTAGGAAGAGACAACGCTGTGCTGTTTATGTATAGACATCTCTTACGTGATCTCTTATCTCTTACACCGCAGTTGAAATTGCGACTGCTTTGCATGAGCGACCAACGTAACGAGCGTAATTTGAGTGGGTAGTAATCTACCATCTGCAATCGCGACTCTTTAATTCACATCTATAACTATAGAACAAATGTTTATTGAAAATACAGTGCTAAAGGAAGCATACAAATTTTGCCATATTCGTGTGTGGTACTGCATTGAGCAATTGTAATAATAGAAATCAAACCTCCGTTTGATCACGTTTGGTTCGGGCTTATGTTTAACCTGCTTCTTTAGATTTTTATTGGCAAAGTCAAAATCCTATATGTTGCGACAGACGTCTGGTTGCCTAGGTATCGGGAGGGCACTGAAACTTTGCGCTATTCTTGGATCTCTAGTTTTATGAAATGGGCGAGAATTTGTGACTTGAGTATGTTTTCCATGTTTTCGCAATGCCGGCGTGATTCTTTGAGAAACATATCACTTAAAAACAGACACGGTTGCGACAATTAAAACCATAGGCTAAAAAGTTCTAGCGTGATAGCGTCTCCGGGCAGTTTCCCAATGGTTTAAACAGTTGAAAGCTACAAAATAAGGAGACGAATACGTAAATTTGATAGGATTTCTATGACTATAGATTCTGAGCTTTATAGAATTGATTTCAAAATTCTATTATATGTAACTTAAGATCGAGTCACATATAGAAACTTATATTATCAGAATTATATATTAGCCAGTGGCGGATAGGGTAGGTCAGAAACAATTAATGCTGCAATTGCTCTCCGACTAGCAGAACAGAATAAAACACGCTAACATGAATTTGTGGGAGAATGGGTTGTCGGGTTGAAGTACTCCGGTAATAGTTATTTACAAAATTGTACACAATTTATCTATAGATATAAAATAGGCATAGGGTTGTAATCTCCTAGCTTGAATGTCCTAGGGGCTAAATCCCCTAGAACTAAGGAGTGATAATCCCCTGTAATTGAAGTTGGGGTGCTAATCGTTGTAAAATGAACGCTATACTTACATGCCGGCTTATTAAAGTATTATAATATGATTTAGAGTATAATGTAAAAAATCCACCCAACATTTTTATTTTCGTCCTCAAGCCTGTTGTAATCTAAGCTTTAATCACTGTCACCGTCTTGCTTTCGACAATCTCGCGCATGCGCAGACAAATTGCGCAGACAAATTGCACTTTTGTTGCTCGAAAGCTGCCCATTTTTATTTGATAAACAAAATGTATTAGACGATAAATTCATTAACAGTCACCTTTAGCTCAAGTCTTGCAGAATGTAACTTTTTGAACTGTCTGGTCTTTTTTTACAATATTATAATTAAGAATGCAATGTTTTTTATGCGCTTGAAATTTGGCTTTGAGGGAAACAAAGGCTCTGGAACAATTGAAGTTCGACAATTGAAAATCGACAATTAGTCGTTCACCCCGTATGGAGTGTTGTAAGACAATACAGTAAATTAGCCAGAATTTCTGGCTTTCCTCGCTAGAGGATCGTAAGCTCTGGGAGCGGGCTTGTTGTTGAATAAAGTCTTTTGTCAGTCTTTTGCAATGGTCGTCAGTCTTTTGCACTGGTCATGGCTTTTTAGGATACCCAAAAGGTCAAAATGTGGACAGAGGACTGGGACGGACCCTAACCCATCCCCGTTCCCAGGTTCTTTGCGTGCTGCGCACAGTTGAACAAAGATTAACTTTGATTACCCACTCTTGAAAAGCAATTGAGTATAGGGATTTTCTACCGATTATTTTTACCCTGATAAAGAATCTTTTATCACCAATAATAGGTAATTTATATTATTTTCTACCCAGAATACTGTACGGCAAGATGCAGAGGTGGACTGGGGCGGGAACACGCGGAAAATCTGGTGCTGGCGCTCGACGTTCTCTGGTGCTACGCTTCCTGAATAGTTGTCATAACGACGAAATGAAGGTGTTCATTGACTTGATAACCCATGGTTTTAAGGAAATACACCGTAAGTTGATAGACATATATCGTTTTGTCAAGTGTATATATTTTCCGATTTGTCGAACAATAACGTAAAGTAAACGAAGGTGTTTTTCTCTTCAGAATGTGGACAAACACAACCTGTTGTCGTTTTAACAAAGGTGGTTCCTTTAAGAAAACAACTCGGCTTCCTTAATATGTTTTCTCAGCTAATTGAAGTACTTGGTGCCCATGCTTCCCAATATGTACCTCACTTGCTTGAGATTTTGTTCTATTGTTTGGGCTTATGCAAGGATAGCTTGGAACAGCGAGAGAAGGTGAGGACAAGGAATATTGTATTCAGGCTGCCTCCATGGAATCTAGCAAACAGTCTAAATATTCCGCGTTTCCAGACGCAATATTTAGGATCACACCACCTTACTGAGAATTACTCTGCCGAAATATTAAATAGACGAAACGCATAGTCATAGAATTTATTCCAAGCGTGAACATAATGTGGTATGATATTATTATTAGACCTAATTACTAAATATCAATTTTGTAAAATTTACTTCTTCCATTTGGTACTAGTTCATTTTTTCGGTCGTGGTCTTCTTGTTTCCTTCTTTAAACCTATGGAAAATGTTGTGAATAGTTTCAAAAAAGAAATAGATGAAAACATATATCCGTATTCGAGTATATAAACTAAACAAGTAGATCCAACAACAATGCTGTATGTACGCTAGCCTAATATAATCCAAAATTTTGGTGGCAAAATATTGTATATACAACGTAATATGTATTTTGCAACCAAATTTTTAATTTCCATTTGAGCTATTTTATAGCTGTTTACTGTCGCACTGATTATATACTTTTAGTGGGGATTAGTCCATTAGTTTAAATTTTATGTATTTTATGTTTAAATAACTTATTCAATTATTTAGGTCGACCCTCGATGTTTGCCAAATCTCAGAGCTGTTCGTCAACTCGGTATTAAATGCCTGACAAAGTTTTTCGAAAAATTTCCAAATTACGATTTTTCTTCCGTTGTGGATAAAGTCTTTGAATCGGCGGTTTTACCTCAGGTAAATGGCACCACGATTTTTGTATATCATGCGATTATAGATAAAATTTCATGATTATGTTACATAAGGTATAATGACCGTATCTAACGAATTCAAACTGGTACCAAACTACCAAAATTATGGTACCAAACTACCAAAAAAGGTTTACCAAAAAGTAGCTAGGCGTTTTATACTGTCCAGCAGTTTCAGTTTTTAAATTTACAATGCCGAACTCATAAGTAATGACAGTAATGATAATTTAGTTTTTTCGAGGATCTGGGTTCTGATTGGTTGATTTTTGTACTCAGATCAGCTGGGTGCGCACTCATCTAAAGAATTTTGCAACCGGCCTCCCCTCCCCCACCCAATCTACCAGCTCTATAAGCTAGACAATTTGTGAAAAATAAAATTACAAACAAACAAACAGACGTAGATAAAGAAATATTCTTCTTTTTATTTAGATCACAAAGTTACGTTTTGAATCTCTTCAAAGTCCAACCTCGTTGCTTCGTCTTCTGAACGCTTGGAGCAAGAATCCTCGCTTTCATCATCTTTTAGGTTATTTGCCTTCCGGTTCGGATGAAGGACTGCTTCATCACGTATTCGCATGTCTCGCATCAGATCACGTGTGCACACCTGTGGTAACTATGGTGATGGAGATAGCCGAACGTCTGTTATCCAACGGTGGCGAAGCTCGTCCGAGTCATGATGAGGAAGGCCAGCAAGGTCAGATGTCTTTCGAATCTAGGTGAGTTGTGGATTTTTATCATTTACACTTACAGCCCTTTTTATATAGGAGCTTGCTGGTTCCAGAAGACGATTTTAGTCGTAAAGCTATCACTATAATTATGATACCACATTTCAAATACCTTTTTTTCTAAAGAAGAATATCGCAACATCTGCCTGACTCTTGTGCTAGTGTGCGGATTTTTTTAAGATAATCGACAGACAGAAAAAAAGTTAAAAGAACCATGTTAATGAATTTTTTGTGTTAGGAATTAAGTATCTATTTGAAATGGCGATACTGTATATAGCTCGAATTTTCTATTACACGTACACGGCAGAGCCGTTTATTTTAGACCCATTCAGGTGCACATACCCTGCATGGAATAATTTGTAGCCCACGGCCATTTCACTGGATGTATGTAGTTTTACTGTATGAAACGAATCTCGCCGAAAAACAATCAAATCGGCAATGTTATTTATTTACAACCTAAATGGAAAGGAATGCAGAATTTCTTATTGCATATACGAATGTCTTCCAGCCAAAAGAATGCATTGGAAGATACCTCAATCCCCTTTGGCACTGAACTTGTATTGCCCCACGTTTCAACAATTTTGGATCATCTCAACAAATCCATCAAGCAAACAACCAAAGATATGTCTAAAGCCAGAGGAAAATTGGCCAAAATCTCACCTGTATCAAGTACGGAGCTCTCGGTGTTGTCAAAGATCAGCCCGTACATCGTGGATCCTGAACAGTCCTTCACGCTCGTTCGCTTGATGCTGCCTATTCTAAACGCGACTCAGAAAGAAGAATCTCAAATTGGAATGCTTAGATCTATTAAGAACCTCCTGAAAAATGTTGCAGATCCAATGATTTTCTTCGGACAGTTTTCAAGACTGTTCTCCAGTCTACACAGCAGAGTTGCGCGGACGGAACTTTGCGATGTTTTCACCAGTATAGCTGAAAAAAGAGTTGCCTTATCCGAGTATGCGCAATTGTTACATGGACTCAATTCATGGGACAAGAAGCAACTTGATGAACCGAATTTCGAAATCAGGTAACACTGATCATTTATGTCGTATGAAATTTGATTGAAATAGAACAAGTGTATTCGTTGATCAGTTAGAAGATGCAAGCTTGCGCACTTCAAAATCCCGGTCACTTTATTTTAATTTCAACCTGTTATATTTTATTAATTCTTGGGGGTACGTATCACAGAGTAAGTAATAAATACAGAGCTGGAAGTAGGTGGGGCATAGAAATTAAATATTGCGGTTTTTTGTACCCGCTTTTTTACCGACGCGTTGCTCGGTAAGTGCCTGAAACGTTCAACATGACTTGGATTTCTTGGTAAACGCCTGCTTAAACATTTTTGATAATTGAAGCTTTACAATATCGTCATTTATATAGCAATTTACGCACATTAGATATATTGCAGTATTGGTAATAATTCTATAATCTCAGGCGCTTCGGAGCATGCGCACTAAAAAGTGAGTGCACTAGTCCCCACTGAGATGCAACTCTGCATCTATTATTCGCCTATCTCTGGTGACTGCATTTTTTGGGGGGGGGGGAATAAAAAAAACTCTGGGAAAAATTGTCGACCTCTACTTTCTCAGGCCCAATCAATTCCTTCCAGCATCTGAGATGCATGACGGTTAGAATATACAAAACTTACCGAAATAGTCATGTTTCGGAGCAAAATTATATAGTTTTCTTTAATTTATATTAGTTTCGGATACGTATTGGTATAGACCTGACCCCATGTATAGAAACCTTGAATATTTAAGACTGCTGTTTAGTGCATTGAAAATGGACCTTTTGCATTATAGGCAACTTTTTGATCTTCGCGAGATAATCCAATAAAATCACCATAGCTGAAAAGAGCGTACCAAAATTAGTAAAAATGCAAAGTTTGGTTGCGAAATGTCGTAAAATACGGGAAATATGGCCTTGCAAAGTTTGCAAATTTGTATACTTTAGTCTAACGCACGGAAATTGCTACCATTTTTGGCCCGAATGTGGTAGCAATTTCCGTGCGTTAAACTAAAGTATACAAATTTGCAAACTTTGCAAAGCGATATTTTCGGCATCTTATGACATTTCGCAACCAAACTTTGCATTTCCACTAATTTCAGTACGCTCTTTTCAGCTGTGGTGATTTTATTGGATTATCTTGCATAGATAAAAAAAATGTCTATAATGCAAAAGGTCCATTAAGGTCAAGTGTAGTTATAAGTATAGCGCGAAGATTAACCGATTAAAATTTTGGAGTCAACCTAATTGTACAGTTTTATACAACCCTTTGCCTGCCTCACCGTTTTGGTTATTTACCATTTTGGGACGTTCACGTTTACCATTTTTCGAATCTACTAGGTTAGAGTCGTTTTCACGCGCCGGGAAATTGATTCAAGCGCCAGAGACAGACCCCGACTTTGTCATACCATTGTTGCTCAACGCTACGTATACAACGATGAAAACCAGTGACTTGGCACTGAGGTATAGCGCCATGGGATTTGTAAGGACGGTGGTTGATGTGGTTGAAGGAAGAGACGGCAGTCGGCCAGGGAACTGGTTCGATGTTTTGGTCCTTGGAGGTCTATTACCCTCTGTAAAAGAGGCTGTGAAATTGAAACACGAGGTGTGTTTTTCAGAATTACTGCAGTTTTCGTCAGAGCACGAACAGTCGCTTGGTAAAAAATATGTAGTTAGACTGACCAAGACGCAAACTGCTCAAATATAGTTAGACTGACCCCGCCTGGTATAAATTTGGCAATTTATAAAATCAGGTGCGACTCTTTATGTGCATCCGACCAAATCTGGTAACAAAAAATACCAGATCTGGTCGCATTGATTTTAATGCATGTATATTTGATATTTATACTTTTCAAAGTGACATTTTTAGGGATGTGTATTTCTAGGGATCTAGAAACGAATTTGTACTCATTCTTGGGAGCTTGGTGAAAAGATTTGATCATCCGAAATTGAATGTACTCAAACCGTTAGCAAGCGATGACGCCGAAGTCGATTTCTTCGAGAATATTGTTCACATTCAGGTGAGTTTTGATGCGTGGAATACCGAATAGCACAGAAATTTCATTCACGTGGACGCCACCTGCCTTCAAATTCTAGTTGAAAATGACATTTTGCCCTGCGTGATCAGAATTTTATCATTGTATCGCACTTAAGTTGTTTGTATTTGTTTGTGCGTGCGGTATAAATTTTCAGTCGTATACAGTTATACATGCAGTTATTCAGTTATTTACCAATCAAATCACCCTCTCAAAAAAGCACTTCGTCTGAAGAACTGTATTATAGGTGTATGTAAAGTCAATACTATCTTGTAAGCCAAAAACATTTTAATTATTTAATATATATTGTATAGGTGCATCGTCGAATCCGGGCTTTACGGCGATTGTGTAACGCGTGCGCAGAAACATTGTTTCCAAACCAAACGCTGTCCTCAATCCTCCTTCCTTTGGTGACACATTTCGTGTACGAATACAAAGCAGTGAAAGATCACAATGTCGTCACCGAGGCAATAAACGCAATCGCTGCCATAGCAACGCAACTGCCCTGGCCGAAGTACTCCGCGTTACTACGTCATTACTTAAGACTGTTGCCAAGGGAGAAAGAAATACAAAAAGTCGTTGTGAGGTAAATACTTAAGGCGGATTTCCACTTACAGCGAAATCGTTCGCTAGCGAAATATTAGAATATTTTCTTTTGAATTGAGAACAGTCAAGTCGAACTAATTTATTTATGCTGTTAAAATTCAAAAGAAAATATGCAAATATTTCGCTAGCGAACGATTTCGCTGTAAGTGGAAATCCGCCTTTACTGCATCAAAATAGCCGCGTGCATCTAAATAGCTGCGTGTGAAGCTACGTGTGTGATGTGCGTGTCTTGACAACCAGTCTCGTGCAAGGCGGGGTGAATATACCTTTAGCCTCGAATTCAAATTATTCATTTCATTTTCAATTGTATTATTGATAAATGTAATATTATTATTTATATTTTGTATTATATTTTTGGTTATTTCAATCAGAATGTTTTTTATCATTTTAAAACAAAGTGTTAACTTTTGGGCTATAGCCTACCTAAGCCACTGTTGAATCCATATTAAAATTATATATTATTTTTTATATTTTGGATTATTATTATTATTTCTATTAGAATGCATTCACTGACTCCTGAACATCTTAAATTTAAGAAATTTGAAAGAAACGGCTACATTGCACATATAGACCACGTTACATATACTAAAAAAGGGTGGAAAACCCTATTATATAGGAAGATATTTTCGAAGGTCAATGAGTGATTTGTACTGCATTTTTGCCAGGGAATATACCCTTTCTTAATTTCATACTTCACAAACACTCTTTTAGGATCGTTGTTTGCGTCTTGGAATCCTTTCATTTTGATCTCACATCCTTGCAAGATGCAGATATTGAAAATGAAGGTAAGTTTTAATCCGGTTTTCAGTTAAAGTATAACAGCAAGACATTGTACACAAATGACAAATGGTCCCCTCCTTTGAGAGATTAACTTAAAGATGGAGATGTCTATAGCTACATCTGTCAAAATGGTATATTTAGTGTGTATATATAGAAAATGAGAAATATAGTTAGCTGATTAAAACCACAACTTTCAAAAACAATTCACAACCAATTTTTTCAATTTTTCTTTCAGTATTGCTTTAATCATGTGTCTAGGGTTAACCTCTTGATGTTAGTCAAATATAAATGGAGTTTATGCCCAAAATGAGACTTTTTGTGAGGTTTAAATAGTTGAGATGTTTTGGTTACTTTAATTTTTTATCCAAAAAATGCTGCTCGTTACATTTAACGTTTTTTTCTATTTCCGAAATTCTGCAAGTGTCTAGCGATGTCAAATCACTACATGCATGTGCATAAAAAATTAAAAGTAAACTACTAATTAGCAACTTTTCCACACCCGGAAATGCTGTAAGATGCAGTTTTGTTACAAAAGAATTTGTTTACGTATATAGTATCGATGTCCTTTTGGAGTATTGATGCTCTTTTTTTCTTGATTCATGCTGAGTTGTTTGTATTAACGATTTATTCTTTTTTTCGTTGTAGGTCAGCCTGATTTTGATGCTGTAAGCAATGCTGGGTTTGAGGATGAGAAGGATACCTCAGAGGAAATCGGCTCTAAAGGCGAAGAAGATGAAGCAAATATTGATAAGGCAAATGAGGGTATTGAATGTCCCTTGGCACTTAAGTTAAAGATCCATTCCAATATTACGACTCGAATATTGCCACAGCTTCATAAGTGTTTGACTAAAAAGGTAGGAAGGTTTTACCCATTTGTTATTGTTGTTAGCGATCAATGGCGCTGTTGCTGGGTTGGGGGATATTATAGCGATTAAGATTTTGACCAGACTATCGAGTTCGGTTGGTTTTGAGAGATTTCTGAAGAAGAATCCACAATGTGTTTAGGTTTGTTATTTAGCTAGAGAGATATATTAGCTCTTCAAACTTCCCTCAAAATTACAACAGCGATAGAGGGAGGGATTTGTGCTAAAAGGATAAATTATGTATTTTTTTTCCCTATGAGAACAGTCATGCAAATTCAGAAGCCATTTGACGTCGTGCAGTAGCGATCGAAACGCTTATTTTCGAGAAACTTTAGCGGCTGAATATTTAACACCAATTTTCGAGCTAGTCAAGTTCACTACGAAAAAAAATATACTCATGCATGGTAATTTTTGTCTGTCTGTGTTAAAGTACTTCGCATACGAGGAATGAACAGTATGCTGATCAATTGTCTCCTCTAATTCCCTATTAAAAATAACGTGTTTAATAATTAGGAATTTTAAAAAATTTATACACAAGAAAATCGTAATTAATTCGTAATCGTGATTAATAATAATTAATTCCCACAAATTGCCAGTGACACACCAAACCACCCAAAAATGTTTATAGAATAAGACTTGTCTCTTATTTTTTTGCTAAGCATTCTCTTTTAATCTGTTAAACTGTATTTTTTGTCAGATTGAGTCGAAGGATTTTCACCGTCTCAGTGGCAGAAAAGAAGACGACGATAATGAAATATTACGTGTTCCTATCATACTGGCCATGGTTAAACTGTTGCAGTCTCTACCTAAGAAAACACTGGAAACCAATCTGCCTGGGTGAGTCAAAATATCTCATTTGTTATACTATGTACGTAATTCAGTCACTAATTTTGAAATTCACTGGTGCTGTCATAATTTTTACCAGGCAAATGTTTGTAACTTTTTGGAAGTAATTTTTGCTTTGAAAGGAAGCGAAATTTGTTTCCGAAAATAAATGCGCATGACATAGCTAAACAATGTTAATTAAACTTATTAATTGTTTAGCAACGTGTTTCCAAACTGCATGGCATGAGCAAAGTGCTATGCAAAGATGGTAAATAAATTGCCCCAACATGTTTTTTGTTTTGTTTTGTGGACTTGACTAAAGTGGGCAATTTTGGTAGCTAACATTGCGTAACAATGTTGTTTTCTGTAGCAATGCTTCAGACTGCATATGCAAATTTTTTAAAAAAGGCAAATTCCAACCAAAAACCTTCAGCTGGCGATGCGTGCTCGCTAGCTTCTGGTTGTCGTGGCGAAGCGCGTCATAAATTCGCATTCCTCTGCATTTCTGCTAATGTTTTACGAGTAAAACGACATTGTCTTCTGTGTTTAAATTTTCATAGCAGGACGCGCGAAAAGTTTGTCTCATATATAGGCCGGCTATGTTTTCTATGCGACGAATGATTTACTTGGCCGAAACTTGCAGACGATTGAATAGTTATGACGCTCTGTGTGTAAGTGCCTTTTTTTTTAATCCGTGACTTATCCACTCGATTAAATCTCTCGAAAGACGGAAATCGCGCACCTAAAATCGCGGCAAAAAGCTCCCGTGAGAACTGGCCTTCAGGGAATATGAAACCTTTCAGATCTTTCCGCTTTTCTATAAAGCTTGCCAGGGGGTTATATCATATGTACGTATTTTATGACATGCATGGTTCGGCCTGTACAAGATTACGATCATTATTTCGGAATATCAATATATAGCGACTGCATTAATTGATGCAGACATTTTTTATATCATATTCTTCTCAATTGCAATGTTTATCAGCGAAGTTAAACAGGTTTTTTTTTTAAATTTTTTTGTACATTAGTAGATGCCAGAACAATATATCTTTTGGTTTATGTTTTGTTGATTTCGCGTACAATATTGTACGCAGATATGACTAATTTTCACACCATCGCCATCGTTATAACATAGTTGTAGTGTAACAATTTCAATAGCAGTAACAATATTAAATATCATCGTGGCGCTCAAAGCAAACTCCCTGGGAATTATAAAAAATACATAAAAAATACGTTCAAATGATATACTGTATCTATAAGTTAACCAGTTGGAAAAAAACAGCGCATTAAATGTCATCGTAGCGCTACAATTCTTAAAATGACTTTTTAAGTCTGTCAATTAAGGACATATCTATATGTACATACGAAATTAGGCCAGTGATTAAATATTACTAAGTAAACAGCAGACTAGAACGTTGCAAGCTCATCTAACCTAAACATGCGCTATACAGAAACAAATGCATATATATAAATGAAAAACTTAACAAGTTGCGACTTATTTTTTCCCTCACGTATCAATGGCCCTATAATATATAGTCATACTGTAAAATCTTGTAAACTCAATGACAATGACTGAGGCTTGAAATACAAAACAACAGTTTTGCGGTAAATAGTCGTCTCGTCTCGTTATTTTATCGCTATAATATCTCGTGTTTACAAGATCGTGTTTTTCGGAGTATGTTTCATTCAGTCATTTTAGTAAAATGATTGTCTATGATAATAGATTTTTACTGTGGCAACTAAATATAGGTTCTTAAACTATAACAAATTGAAGGATTGTCAAAATTACAATCCCCAAAAATTATACAAGCAAAAATCGTTTAGCATGCATGCATCCTATAGCTGCCAATATCTGGCATTCGCAAAATTTTGACTGAAGTATTTAGAAGTAGAGTTAGATAACAGACATACATATCATTCATAGTTGCATCGTGTAGTCATTTTAGTACTGACATCGTGTGCTGTTTAATCTATATGACTATATTCTATATTATACTATTGTAATCGTTATAGTATATCTGGATTATTTTTGTATTTATAGCTAACTTATCTGATAAACCCTTTTGTATATTAGTGTGAATTGTGGTTGAATAAACCATCTATATCAAAACGATTAAATAATAATTAGAAACTTATGGGGTTCTCATGGCGACACAATAGCTGATGTATAGACTATAGTTAAAAATTCGCACCTAAAATACGTAAGTTAAATATTCGAGTGGTCTACGATAAAATCCCTAGACGCTTTAGTTCGAAAATATTTGGGAAATGCAGTCAGTTCGTACATGGTAAAAAAATATGCGAAAAGTTTGGTTCGCTTTAGATATGTATCGGGGACTATAATATGTCAAAATTTTTCAAGGGCTAAATATTAAGTATTTATATACATATAGAAGAAGGCCATAGTTTTCTCTCACGGCCAGCTGACCGAGGGCGAAGTGTGTATATGTAAACAATGGCGAGAGATGTAAGTTCGTTTGTTTAGTCGCCAAATCCGGAGATCCATTGAGCTTCTTCGAATATAATCTCTTTAAACTCTTTCAATATATTCAGAGATAAGTTTTTGCAAAGTGTCATGACGCTGTGGGGATTGTGATCTCAAAACAACGCGATTCCAAACGTCGTTTAAATATATTTCAAAACACGCCGGCGCATGGAATTTACACTTTTGAAATGCCGGTGCTAATATATTTGCGACAGCTAGTATCTCCACTATAATATACACTAGCTCGAATTAAAAACAACACACTTATATAATTGGTGATATGACTAAGTCCGGAGTGTCGGTTTTATTGTGGCTTTTGATACAAACCTTCGTATATCTGAACGAGGATTTTGTCCATGGGAGTTTTTGCGAAACCGACAGCGATTGTGCGTCGAGTCATAGACAATTCTGTTGCCGAGTTAACAGCCATTCGAAAAGAAAACGATGCAGGGCTAGCTGTATTGGACAATATTGTGCGACTCATGAGGATTGTCGTGGTATTAACGAGTGCTGCGGCGTTTTAAACCGTTGCTCGGCCTATGGATGTGCCAGCGAATGCTTGACGAACTCGGATTGTAAATCTGGCACTTACTGCTGTCGCAAGAAAGACATACACGAAAAGAGCGTTTGCTTACGGAGCTGCGTCGGCGAGTTTTGCTATACGCATATTGACTGTGGCGGGCAACACGAGTGCTGTAGCGGGTTACATCATTGCAAAACGCACGGATGTCGCCACGAATGCTTCGCTAATCAAGACTGCGCGAACAACACTGTTTGCTGTGTCAAAGGGCACGATTTTGACAAGAACAGCTGCCAGTCCTCTTGTCTTGGAGAATCGTGCCAGTCTGACGGAGATTGCGGACGAATTGATCTTTGTTGTGGCTCGGATTCCTATTGTACAAATAAGTGTAATGTCGATTCCAAGGAGTTGAGCGTTTGGGTTATTGTGACGATCGCTTTGGGCATTTGTTTCCTAGTTTTGTTGCCTGGGTTGTTAGGTGTTTATTGCCTGCGAAAAAGGGGTCATAAGAGTCCTACGGAAAATCCTGCCGTTGATACACCATCTGAAGTGAAAAGTAAAGATCTTTCTTTGACGGCGACTTCTAAACCCCAAAACCGTTACCGTCGGCCAGCGTCCCTTCCCCCGCCACTCCCCCCGCCTCTCCCCCCGCCGTCTAAACCGCCATCTGTCGATCGACCCATTCAAGAAATCCGCGATCAGACATGTACCGCTAACGAGCCTGAAGCCAGTGCCTCAGCAAAATTCCCTACAAGACCTAGTAAAGAACGGAGAAAACCCCCCGAACCCCCGGCAGCGAAACCCCAGGAGAATCCTCCAGACCCAACATCCAACAAAGACGAACCCCTGCCGCCTCTCCCGCCTCGCGCAACGAGATACAGAGACCCGCCTCCTATCCCATGCAGTGTGACGTTAACTAAGGATCGACAAAGGCCTTCCCCTCCCCCTAGAAATCGACGGTAACTTGGTATGTACAAGTCGGAATGAGGTGAAATATTTCGCCATTATCAGGAACAAATGAAAGAATTTCGCTCAGACTATAATTCATTCCGTGCAATTTTAGCGTATTTTCGCGCTTTGCGATCAGCACACACCAGATCTGATTTACCTTTTGCGAAGCAAGTGAAGAGCTCTATATAAAGTACTTTGTCAATTTTGGTCATGAACGCGATAGTACATTTAATCCCACATGCATATGTTCTAAAAATATCTCCCAAAGAAATATCTTAGGATTGTTTGCTGCATGCAATGCCATTTTCAACCGCATCGTAGCGAAGCGTAGCGTATGTCATTGTTTCCTGAAAAGGCTAGGAAAAATTACTTTGGAACAAAGGAATGCTACGTTTTGCCACGATACAGTTGAGATGAAAACAGGCCTCAAGAAACGGATTGAGATATAACAATGGATTATTTACGCTATGTATAATAAAAACACTATAAAAACTTTATAAACAATCCATAGCTTGCTCAATAAAACTCTTCTCATAACGATGTAAAACGGGAAAAAGGTGACCTTTGAGCGATGGCGAGAGTACTTACTGCACTCGAATATTTACACCACAGATGCCGAAGTCCAAAATCATCCGCTATTATGAATAGGCGTTACGTACGGCCATTTGCATTATGCGCATGCGCTACCGAAAGATAAAAGTAGATTGGTTACCGTAGCCACCAGGCTTATATATTTTAGATGCGTAAGAAGATGAACTATGGCACAGGTGAAATATGTACCAATATGGTTATACCAAACCCCCCAAAATTGTACGAAACTCCAAATCACACGATTTATTGCGCAATCTACGTAATTTAATTGCTGGCAACTGTCACTAAAAGTTCTGGTGAGTAAATCAATGGAAAAAATTATAATTGAATATTTTAAACCGGATACTGAGAAAATCACATAACCGCAGATAAGACTGTGGTCTGGGATTTTCTAATCTAACGAGTGCTCAGTAAAAACCAGTGTGAATTATATCATAAAACAACAGCGTCAGTAGCGAAATTGTT